AGTAGTTCGATTTTGATAAAATTAAAATCGAAACTCGAAAATATTTGAAAAGAGTTATATCCTAGAGTAGAAGAGAATACAATAAAAACCAACGAAGCAATAATTTATTTCCTATTATATTCCCATTAATTATCCGATCGTTCCTATGGCAGCTATATGATATAGTCGTCCGATTTTGAAAAAATTTTATACGAAATTCAGAATTAGATAAAAAATGACATTTTCAAAAGTAGGATGTTATAGGTTCAAAAACACCGAAGATATCATTTTTTTACATTTTTCCCGATTGTTCCTATGAGAGCTATATGATAGCTGGAAAACTGAGAGACTAGTTTGCGTAGAAACGGACGGACAGACGGACGGACGGACGGACAGACGGACATAGCTAGATCGACTCGTCTAGTGATGCTGATCAAGAATATATATACTTTATGGGGTCGGAAACGTCTCCTTCACAGCGTTGCAAACTTATAAATGTGCGGGTTGGGCTTGAATTCCAGCTAGTGTGGAAGAAAATAAGTCTTAACAAGAGAGAACGCTATAGTCGGGTTGGTGTCCCGACTAATAATCGTAACTCAGCTAAAGGGAGTGCGAGGGAGATAGATATATAAACAATTTTAAATGCGTATAAGTTTTTAATGAATGGTCCTATTTGAAAAATGTCTTCTACATTTCGATAGGTATAAATATACACAACAAAATTGCATTTATACTTCTCGGAAATCCTTTAAGATGTGGGCGCAGGACACACTTTAAAATCGTTAGTGGGCGATTGTGGGCTTAAGAGGGGGCGTGGCGCTCGGCTGAAATAAACTTGCGCTGCGTAGGAGGCCCAAGAATATGTGTGGGAAATCTCAACTTTCTAGCTTTTGTAGTTTCCGAGATCTCAGCGTTCATACAGACGGACAGACGGAGAGACGGACAGACGGACAGACGGACATGGCTAGATTTACTCGGCTAGTGCCCCTGATCAAGAATATATATACTTTTTGGGGTCGGAAACGCTTCCTTCTAGCTGTTACATACTTTTGCACGAATCTAACATACCCTTTTACTCTACGAGTAACGGGTATAATGACTCAGAATCTCACTTGGGCTTGGTTCATGAAGGGCTAGACCCAGTTGGGGAATTATAAATAAGGCATCGCAGAAGATTTGTAAAATTACTGTTGCATACTTTAATACCAGCGGTCGGCAGCGTCCTATTCAGGGGTGTCACAGAAACCGTCGACGGATTTGGGGACGGTTGGTTTAGAAACCAACCGACCAAAACCGTTGGTGTCACAGGAATTCAGCAGATTTCCTTTTTTCGGAAAATTTACCGAAAAACGACCAGGGCTGGATGCATCCACTAAGTATCGAATATTCAATAATTATTGAATTCTATTTGACTTATCAAGACTATTTTCCAATAAGTTTTAAACCTATTTTATGTTTTTCTTGCAAAATTACAAAATGAATATATGTTTAAAGCGCATATCGTACACAATAAACGAAAAAACTTAAAAATTTGAATTACCCGCCAGCCTACATATTGCAACCCTCAACAACGGTTTGCCGCGGCCGCGTTGGTTTATTTTCATTTCTAAGTTGGCAAGAATTTTAAAAGCGAACCAAAATGCCGTCTGCTCTAGAGTACTTGCGAAGGCATAAACTGCGAGAGGCTAGGACGCAGAGGAGATCCTTACAAGCGGTTTTACCATGGGGCCCATGGGGATTTAACTCGTTGGCCAGGTCCTTTCAAGCAGTAGTCACAAGAATGCGGCCGCCCTGAGTAAATCCTTTGGCAATGTCCATATTATCGCGAATGAATCGGAAGAATATGGTATCTTGCGCTGGAGACCTGTGTGTACCCCTGAAAATTAGCAACGATTACACTAGTTTACAGCCAAAATGCTCCCCAGCAATTGATGGCAAATTCTGTCAGTGTTGGACCCCTAGATCACGAAAATACCATTAATTTTTTTTTCGATGGCACAGTTTTTTTTAAAGATTTTTTAAAGTTCAAAATGTTAAATTTCGGACTTTTTTCGAATTTCTTCTTATATTTCGGAAGATATCCACCCGATCGAGCCAGTTTTAGTTTTATTTTAAAGTCAATAGATCAGAGCTTTACTTTGCCATACAGATCAATATGATTGGATTAGTAATGGCAGCGCAGAAGCTTGACAAAGATGAAAAATGTGTTTTTGGTCGACTGTAAGTCGGCTGTATACATCGTATAAACTCGAAATAAATCCGTTGAAAAATCATAATGGGTACAAACTTAAAGTTTACATCCTACCAAATAACACAAGCAGGATATGGCCCAAATCCATGGAAAACTGGAATTATGGTGGATTTTTAAAGTTCGGATTTTTTGACTTTTTTGGGTTGACAGAGTTCAAATTTAAGATTTATCATAGGCGGCGACATGTAAACAAAAATGAGTGGTGACGGCAGCCGGGTCAAAAATAGCTAAATTTAAAAGCTAGAAAATTATATAAATGAATTTAATTTCTAAAAATTCCTAAAAAAAATATAAAATTGCTTGCGTTATGACTGTAAGTATTTTTAATAAGTAACATCCATTTGGATAATTAATAAATTTCAAATATTAAACTAACTTTTGTAATTTTTTAGCTATTAAATATCTGATTTAGCTATTTTTTGACCCGGCTGCCATCACCACTAATTTTTGTGTACATGTCGCCGCCTACGATAAAACTTAAATTTGGACTCTGTCAACCGAAAAAAGTGGAAAAATCCAAACTTTAAAAATCCACCATAAATCCAGTTTTCCATGGATTTGGGCCATATGCGGCTTGTTTTATTTGGTAGGATGTAAACTTTAAGTTTGTACTCATTATGATTTTTCAACGGATTTATTTCGAGTTTTTACGATATATACAGCCGACTTACAGTCGACCAAAAAACACATTTTTCATCTTTGTCAAGCTTCTGCGCTGCCATTACTAATCCAATCATATTGATCTGTATGGCAAAGTTAAGCTCTGATCTATTGACTTTAAAATAAAACTTAAACTGGCTCGATCGGGTGGATATCTGCCGAAATATAAGAAGAAATTCGAAAAAAGTCCGAAATTTAACATTTTGAACTTTAAAAAAACTTTAAAAAAAACTGTGCCATCGAAAAAAAAGTTTGTGGTATTTCTGTGATCTAGGGGTCCAACGCTAACAGAATTTGCCATCAATTGCTGGGGAGCACACCAAGAATATTATTTTGTAAACTAGTGTTATTAGTTTAAATTAATAATTAACAAAAATGTTGTACTTTTTTACTTACATGTCTTCTTCTTCTTCACAGCCGGCGGTTTATCTGGCAAAAATAGGACATTTTCACGACAGTGATACCTACTTTTTGCAAAAGGCGGCCTGCTTTTTTTAATTTCTGAATAACTACAGGGGGATTCCCTAAACTGTTGAATTGCTGAATTGTTGAAAATTCAACAAAAAATTTCAGCAATTAAGGGAACGACTCAAAATGGTTCCTGTTGAATTTTCAAACAGCTGTTATTTGTTGAAAAATTTCACGGAACTTAAAGCATGTAAAATTTGATTTATTATTGCTAGTTACTGTCTAAAAGTGTTATTAAGGTAAAAAGAACCACAAATAGGCTTTCTAAGTTGATTTTAAAATAAATAATGCGTACTGGTGATACTAAAATGTTACAGAGTTGCCACGACTTTTAAAAAAAGGTGACAACTCTGGCTTTTCAGCAATTCAACAAAATTTTCAGCAGCCCCGAGGCTGTTGAATTGCTGAAATTTCTGAAAGTTGACTTTGTATGGAACAGCTGATTAACAGCTGACCAAAATTCAACAATTCAGCAATTCAACAGTTTAGGGAATCCCCCTTACAACTTCTTTTACCATGAAAATTTTATCAGAAATAAGTTTCATTTTATATTTGTGGAATATAAGTGTAAGTTGGTTGATTTTATCAAAACCTCTGGCAAAATACGGGGGATTGAGAAACCGTCAAACATGACGTCTGTGACACCGAGATTTGCTATTCGGGGGAAATTTTTTTTTTCCGTGACACCACCGAATGTGACCAAGCACAAGTGCTTTGGAGTATAACTCATTGGACTATATATCTCTTATTTTTTAGTTTCGGGAAATTAATATCTCAATTGGTATCAAGATAGTCAGGTTGTAGTAATACTTAATGCTTCACGCCCAGCACCTTAAAGGTCATCTTCCTAGGAGGCGCACTCTCATCCTTATCCGTTTTGATAGGCAATTTCGCATGTCGTCAGACTTCGTTAGATACTCGGCCCTTTTCATTGTTTTTTTTATGTAAGGCCCAACCCGGCTCTGTCAATAAATCAATAAATGCCGTCCTTTGTCGTCATTTCCCTTGTGTTCGTTGGTCCGTGTGCATATTGCGCAATCACTTTGCTTAATATGTGTGAGTGCTTGCAGTGATTACTGCGTTTTAATATTCCAATAAAATAAAACACAATTTTAAAACACACATTATTGAACTAAGTGTTCAATATAGGCATTTATGGACCTAGTTAGTCTTGTAAGCCCGCTATGCGTGTGCACCTGAAATTAAAATCAAACTCCGCCGTGAATGGTGACTCACCGCTTGCCGGATGACTGGCGCCACAAGCAATGCAAAAAGGAAAAATGTCTTTTTGCCCACCCTTTCTCTGGCGATTTTTATATTTATTTCATGTTGCACTCAATTTTTTCCTCTTCTAGCTACCTAGAATTGTTTCGTCCTCTTAAAGTTTTTCCCATGATTTATTTTTATTAAACAACTGGTTACCAAAATATCTCGGGGGAGGCATTATTTATATGCAAACAAACAACATATTAGACTCATATAGTATTCTTAAATTAAGAAGCGAAAAACAAACATAAATATTATTAATATTAATTAATTATACTTTTAGAACCTCTTTCAGACTGTTGGTCAAACTGTTACCAGGGTTTAAATAGCAATTTTCGCTGATTAACGGAGCTTCATATATGTATGTATTTCTTACCCGCTGGCAAAATTCCTGGAGCTCGGCACGTGTGGCAGAAGCACTGCATCACCGAGTCGCGTACTAATCCAATCAGCATGATGGGGTATGGCTTCTTCACACAATCCAAGAACTAGTAGGTAATGGCTGGGATATGTGTGAACTGGTTGTGGCCGGTGTATTTTTTATTTGTGGTCAATTTTGTTTCAAGGCGCATTCGATTTTTCGACAGAGGGAGCAACCACTTGCTGCTGAGCATTAACTTGTTTATATATTAAAATCTATAGCAACAAAAGTGTGCTACGAATATCGTACTTGATTTGAGCGACGTGAAATATTTGTATTATTGCTACGATTCTCAAATGAAATCTTTTGCAAACTCGAGACGGTAGAGACGAATCGTAACTAGCGCAGCGAAAGACAAAGACCAACTAAATTACGCCGAAGTTAATTTTTCAGCAGCAAGCGAACGACTGACGACCAGTTTTTGCTGGCGCCAGTATGGCGGCGAAATTGGAGTTGGCGTCGGCGTCGGAAGGCAAGGACAATCCGCATACAAAATGACACACCACTTTTTGGAGACTGGCGGGGGTGGCAGCAGCACCCCCAAGTCAGAAGCGTAATGCAGCGCAAAGAGAGCTGGAGAGCGCCGAAAAGAGAGTGGGATATTGTGTTTGTGGGGGTTGTAAATCATATTTCAGAGAGTAACAGTAATTTTAAGTTAACTTTAAAATATTGTTGTTATTCATAGTTTTGTTTTAAGGAAATGTTTTTAATCATTAAAATTAAAGCCGGTTTAGTTTCCCAAATTTCAATTGAGCCATTTTCGAAATTCTAAGCCTGCGCAGTAATTGAATTTCTGGATGAGAGGTATCGATTGAGAGAGTGGATAAGTGCATTCGGGAAACCGTCTGATTTTTTGTTGTATACTTAAAAAAGTAATCCTAGCTAAATTTTGATAAATACTTATAATTACAAAATGTTAGCAATAAAATTGTTTAAATTATAAAATATCGAAACATAAAATATAGAAAAATATTTTCCGAATTCTTGCTTAAATAAATTTTAATATTTGCTTTAATAAAAATTAATATGGATAAGCTTTTAATCCTTTGCAGTGCAATGCGCGATTTTTGTATTACAAAACTTTTTTAAAAACGAGATAGAACGAGTATCAGATACCAGTTACTCAGCTGAAGGGAGTGCGAGGGAAATGGAGATATGCCAGCTGCCGACCTGTAGCTCACAATATACTTAGATCCGTTTTCTCGTCCGTCCTGCAAAGTAAAATTTAGCTAATGGAAGGATAAATCTATCCAGGTGGCAAATCGGTTTTCGTTTTCTCTTCCGTCATTTAAAACTCCAAATAATTGAGACTAGGTGGCAACCCCACAACAGAAGAGTTAACTCATTATCAAAAATTAGTCGAACAAGTATCGTAAATTCCATAAAACAGTCATACTAACAGCTGATGATATAAACAAAATTTCAAACTTATAAAAAAACAATGTCGGCAGAAAGAAAGTTTTGCGGTAAAAATTAAACCGATGAACAGGAGACAATTCTTGTGGAACCGGTGTCTTCAGAATCGCCTCTGGGAGATTGAATTCTTATGTCTCCTATGTCTTTCGGAAACTTGGCTATTTTATAAAAATCAGCAACATTTTCTTGAAGAACTTTAATACGCTTTAATATAGCAAAAGAAACTTCCTTAACAACACGACTGTCTGTGGCCACGGTAACACTACAAAAATCGCCAACAGTAATAAGAAAACTGCCGCTTGCGTAGAATCTAAAAGCTATTAGAAGCTTAACCCATGACGTCGTTTCCCTGTACACAAAAAAAGAACTTGGTAAAATCAACTGTTATAATTGTCAATCAGTCCCCAATCACAAAAAATAGTCAATTCTACTAAGTAAATAGTTACTTTCACAACAACAAATACACACAATTAGCAAAGACACACACCTATATCCTTGACAAAATTTACAATTTTTTTTTGTGTGTGTAATAATGGTTTGCACTTACTTTTTATACCCGTTACTCGTAGAGTAAAAGGGTATATTGTATTCGTGCAAAAGTATGTAACAGCTAGAGGGAAGCGTTTCCGACCCCATAAAGTATATATATTCTTGATCAGGATCACTAGCCGAGTCGATCTAGCCATGTCCGTCTGTCCGTCTGTCTGTCCGTCTGTCTGTCTGTCCGTATGAACGCTGAGATCTCGGAAACTATAAAAGCTAGAAGATTGGCATTTTGCATGAATATTCTAGGAGCTCCTACGCAGCGCAAGTTTGTTTCAAAAAGGTGCCACGCCCCCTTTAACGACTACAAGCCCCCTTTAACGCCCACAGTTTTGAAGCTATTATGAAAATAGTAACTGATATGTATTCGCTTCGTCAATACCTATCGATTGGCCAAGTAAAAAAATTGGCACGCCCACTCTAACGCCCACAAACCCAATAAACGCTTAAACCTGGCCAGCGCCTACATTTCCGCCTTTCATGACCAGTAGTACCAATATCTGGCGGTAGATGGCGCAATACAATATACACTAGCGCCATCTAGGAAATGGCATTGGAAAAAATCTGCCGTTTTTTCTGTGGTCACTTTAATTCACATTATTTTAATGCAAATTTTAAATTATTTGAAATGGGGCGCGCATTTTGTCTCTTTTTGCTCGTATACGTTTTTCACAAGTGCATTCACCTGGGCTAGAGAGAGAGGAAGATGTGCTAGGCAGAATTGAAAGTTCTAGAAAACCTCTTCTAGAAAGAGATCCCTGTGTAAAAATCGAGCGGCGAAAAACATATAAGAAGGCATATTTCTATTAAGTTGTTTAGCTGAGTAACGGGTATCTAATAGTCGAGGCACTCGACTATAGCGTTCTTTCTTGTTTACTTTAGATTCAAGACGCAACACAATTTTTTTTTGCAAAATAAATAACACCGTGCTTTTACACAAGCGAAACCTTATAACAAATTCTTCATCACTGTAATGTTCGAAGTAGTTTCTTTGGTCTTGCACTTTTCGCACTTCAGACAATTCGACGATATCCCACAGAGTTTGAAGATAAATCGCTCGGGAATTCATTTTAACATCAATTGGTAGACTTTAACAATTTTGATTTATATTTAACTGTAAATAGGCTGGCGAAAATCCTCCAGCTAAACCCTCCACGAGGGTGCCGGCTGGGCAATGGTCATTGCATTATCCCGAGCAGAGTAATGCATTGTCGCTTGTCCTGCCCAGGGAAATGCAGTGTCTAGCTAAAGCAACTGGTTCACACTTCTCAAGCAAACCCGCGATTGCGTCAACAGGCGGATTTGCCAACAAGGTGGAGATGCTTGTCAACAAAAGGCAACGCAAAAGGCAAGGACATTCCGGTGAGCAAGCGGAAACGCGGGCCCAAGGAGACAGACCCTCCGCCACCCAAAGCAGCGCAGAAGCCCAAAAAGAGGGCTAAAATCAGTGATGTAGTCAACCGACACCTAATCGTGGCACTCATTGACAGGAACGACGAAAATGGGAAGATGACGGAGGCGCCCTGGAAGATCGTCCATGCACGACTGATCGAGTCTCTCCTTGCATGGATGGAAGAATTACCCACAGCCCCCATGCCCACATTCGATGGTGCAGGGTGGTTTAACGGCGTGAAAATCCTGAAGTGCAACGATGATCCGACCAGGAAGTGGCTGACGCAAACGGTATGCCAACTGGAGGCGCTGTGGGAGGGCGCCAAGCTAGAGGTTGCGGACAGGGAATTAATCCCATCTATACCAAAGGCGAAAGTGCTCTTCCCCGTCGCAATCCAAGGGGATCAGGCGCTGAAGCTGCTTCAACGGCAGAATCCAGAATCAAACGTGCTAAACAAACTTGTAAAGGGACAGAGTACTTTGGACTCCGTATGGAGGGTCCCAAAAACGCCATCTTTTTCGGACCATAGGTATATTCAGTTCAGATGAGTTTAAAAGCACTCCAAAGGTAGCTGTCTATAGAAACCCCCGGAACACGAACTGGGAAAAGTTTACAAGGACTGTTAGTGGGAATCCTTACAGGCCAATGTCTGGCCGCATCACACGCAACCTCACTGGGAATACGCAACAGTCGCACCTGCAGGAAATGTGATGAATAGGGGGCTATCGAAACCCTGGAACATCTTATCTGCAACCGCCCGGCTCTCTCAAGAGCGAGAAGAAGATACCTCGGTGCCCCAGTACTGGCATCACTAGGAGACGCCTCCAGCAGGGAACCAGGAGAACTACTTGCATTCGCCAAAAACACCTCGATCCTTATGGACATAAAAACCTCTTAACTTATCTCAAGGTTCATGCGCATCAACCGGAAAACAAAGGGCCATATTGGCCTAAGCGTGGCCCCGTGAGGGCCGTCCGGACTAACCTAACCTAAACACTTGCATAACTCTCATAAATTTGGCACGGTGGATGAAGTATTGAGTTAATATTTGTCGCTACCTGCGCTAACATAAGGACGAGTAAACCATTTTTTGTTTATCGCTCCGTTGTCCTGGCAGGCAAACTAAAGTTCAATTGTTCTCAATTAAAACAAAAATCGCCTAAATTGCCGAATGAGAAAATTTAAGAAATTGTATTTAACGACGAGTGTAATAATTTTTCGTCACAAATGTTGATATCAGAACTTTTGTATGTTGAAGGTGCGATCGTCGCTAGTTGTTTACCTCGTTAAGAGTTGTTTTTTATTTGATATCAGAAGTTTTTGTTTGTTTGTTTGCTCTCATAGGAGCTAATATATACACCCAGAAAAAAAATGACCTAAAATGTCAAAAAAATGGCCTAGAATTTAGGTAAAATTGACCTAAAACTGGAGCTAACTCCTTGAATGGTCTACAATTTAGGATTCCATGACCTAAAATGTTAGGCCATTTTTACCCTAAAATGGGGGTAATTTTTGGCCTAGATTTTAGGTAATTGGCTGCCTAAAAATATGGGAAAACCCCTATCCAAAATTTTAGGCTTTCTTTGGCCTAAAAATATGTACTGAAAAATGTATCTAACTCGAGGTCAATGTCGGCATAGTCTTCAAGAAGTCGTCATTATGCCAAGACACAAAAAGGAGCGAAGAGGTTTCACTGTACATGCATACAATCATCAGCAGTATACCCAGAAAAATGATAAACAACATTTTAGGTCATGCATAGCCTAAAATATTTTAAATGGACTAAAAGTTCCTTTTTAGGTCATGTACTGCCTAAAAATTTAAATTTTTAGTATATTTGCCCTACTATTTAGGTCCCGTGTAGCCTAATATTTTAGGTCTTCGTGGGCCTCAACCGTCAACCCACTTCGATCGTTGATCAAGACAGCGATTTCACTGCTGATGACTGATGCAAGCCGCGCTATAACTGGTTGGGAATTATAGTGTCGCCAGAATGGTATCAGAGTTCCGTGCGGAAGATGCTTCTGTCAAATTTATTTAGGTAAAATGCATTAATTTTAAGGCCCACGATGACCTACAACCGGCTGCCAGCGTCGCGTCTTCC